GATTTAAACGAATTTATTTCTTAAAATTCAGATATTTATATAAGTATTAGAAATTTCAAAAAGGCAAGATTGCTAATCGAGAATTTAGAGCTAATTTTATTGTAATTGAATAAATATTGTTCAAAATCATATTATAGATAATTTATTTAGAATTTAAAGATAAAAAGCTCTAAATCTTAAACTCTTTTATTTAAATATATAATTATTAATTTAAATCATATTAGATTAAGACAAAACTTTTATATATAAGCTTAAAATTAGCTAATGAATAATATCAGGAATTTTTATAAGATTATATATAGAATTACGCTAGTAGTGATTCTTTTGTTTTCGTCTATACGTCTTTTAAAACCCCGCCGAGTAGATATTATATTATATTTACTGTTCATTAAGACCTAGTATGAATCCATGAATATATCTCTAATACCGGTTGTAAGGCTATTTCAATTACAAACTACTCGCCCCGTCCAGTATATATCTCTTGATCAGGGACCGAGTATTTTGATTCGTGTGCGATCACTATGTATGCGAATGAAGCATGCATCAGACGTAAGTTGTATACAGATCAAATCTTCATTTCAGATTGAATCAATTGCTATCTATCTAACTTTCGTTTTCCAATTGAACCTTCGCCATAACATTCATCTCTCATCTGATCATTGACATAGATGCGTATGTGTAGCCGAACCCTTCCTCATCTAAGCGATGCTAACATCCATAACCGCTGCTCTAGCATCAGTATACAATGGGTGGATTCCCGTCCATTTTTGAAACTATTAATTAACAAACGCGTTAGTTGAATGATCCGAATCATCAAATCTCAAAAATGAGAGTTTGTGGGAAATGGGAGGAAAACTAACCTGAAACCAACCCTGCGCACTCAAAACCTCCAGTCCAGGAATCGCAACCCAACCAGCATCCTCCGCCATCCTCATGAGTGGTGTCTGCGAAGGTTTGTATGCCATTTCCAACAAAGTCCTCTGTTTCCCCTCATCCCGCTTCTCGTGTCTCAACAAGACGGCGAGGGTCTCCCTCATATTGCTCTCGATCGGGCGATCTGCAGGAATGGTACTAATAGCAACTGAAGGAGGAGTAGTGAGTTCGGAGGCCGAGGCAGTGCTTGGTAGTGGGATGATGTTGAAGGATGGAGGGAATGAAGAGATCAAAGTTTCGAGTTTGGAAGGCGTACGCGCGACGATGTAGATGGGGGAGTGGCCAAGAGAATGGAGGGCGTAGATGGCAGCACGAGATGTACCTCCAGCGCCAATGACGAGGGCGGGGGAAGGTAAGTCGACGGGTGATGGGGTGTAAGATGCAGACATGAGGGAGTGAGTCATTCCCAGCCAGTCCGTGTTTTCACCAATAAGACGAGGTGGATTATCCGGCGTAGGGATGATAGTGTTGACTGCGCCTATAACTTTCACCGCATCTGTGACCGAGTCGAGGAGTGGTATGATATCTAGTTTCAGGGGAATAGTCACAGATGCGCCACCAAAATCCGAAGCACGAATGGCATCTTGTACATCAGCCACACGATCGGTTTCGAGCCTGGAGTATTGATGAGGAAGACCTGCTTGTCTAAAAAGACTGTTGTGTAGTGCAGGTGATCGCGATTGGGAGATAGGAGTACCAAAAAGATAGAATGATTTTGGCTCTATCTCTCCAAGGGTCGACAGAGTTGATCTAATCTCGGCAGCAGAGAGTTGGCCAGGTGCTGCTTTGAATGGTAATGCTGGGTGCGAAACTGGCGTCATGAACCCATTTAGGACACGACTCAATTTGCCCGTGACGCCCATATTGATGGCGATCAAAGGGGTATCATGAGCTGCTGCCATTGTCTTTTTGAAATTTGCAAGCGCAAAGTTATCTTCGATACTCTTGGCAGATCCGACAAGCTTGATGATATCTCCATATTGAAGAGCTCTATTGTAGTGCTGGAACCAGCCACCATTCTTCCACGACAAAGTTCCTTGAGGATCATGATGCGAAGCTATGATTCTCGAAAACCCTTTAGCCGCGGTTACTTCATGTAAAAGCTCGTCGGGGAAAGCAACCTCCAAGTCGATATATTCGATGCCCATCTTCACAGCGAGTTTATAAAGATTCAGTGCCTCTTCGTGTGCAGCGTCAGGGAAGCGACCTCCCTGGCTTACTGTCCGCACGGTGAAAATTACAGGTAACTGAACCATTGACCTCAGATGTGCAATCTGAACACTCAAGAAATCAATGCCTGGAATTCCATTTGTAGAAGACGGATCCTCCAACAAATCTACCCGCACTTCAACGGCATCAGAGCCTACCACAACGCTAGATAATATTTCCGCTGCCGCTGATATATCCGGCATCGTGAGGGAAACGAAGAATGACTGTGATTTGTTTCGCATCTCGTCGAAATGTAAATTCTTTCCTGAAATGTGATGCAGGAATCTGGCGAAATCCTGTTCTGCAACGGATAGAGCGCTAGATCTGCCGCCCTTACTATGGTATTGAAAGTTACTGCATTCGTTGAACCAAGGTTTGCGGCGAACGTAGACTCCCATCATGTCCTCAACATAAGCAGGTCGAGTCTTGTCTATGCGAAGATAATCCATGACCTGCTCTGTGTCTCTGTGTACCAAAAGAACAATTCCACCAGACTGATGGAAATTTTTCAAAAGTTCTCGTGCCTCGGGCATCTCAACAATCCCGCCGCCACAAGCGAACACATGCTTCTCTGACTGATCAGTCAGGCAGTGCTTTAGAAGATCTAATTCAGCAGCTCTGAAAACGTCCCAGCCCTTCAACCTGACCATATCAGGTATTGGCATTCCTGAGACTCGTTCCAGTTCTACATCAAGGTCTTTGTAAGGACGACCAAGAATCTTTGCAGCCCATGCACCAGCCGTCGTCTTTCCAGCTCCACGCATGCCGATAATGAAGATAGACTTATCTGGTAGCGCCGGGGTTCCACTTTTCTTGTTATGCGTGGCTTTGACTTCCTTGCCAGCAAGTTCCACTTGGAATGACTGCGAGAGGATATCCCACCATCCTGGCCAGGTCTTACCAACACATTCGCGCTCTCCAATGAGAACTGGCTGGATTGCAGCAACAGACAATACACTAAAACTCATCGCCACACGATGATCGTCGTAACAGTGAATACCTTCTGCTGGGTGTTTTAACTCATTTATTGGTAGACCATCGATTTCAATTCCATCTTCGAGTTCACGACATGTCACACCGAACTTTGCAAGTTCATCCTTCATTGCTTTGATTCGATTGCATTCCTTGACACGCTGATTGGCAATTCCCCTTATCCTGGTTGTGCCCTTTGCCACTGCGCCCAATACCGATGCGGTCAAGAAAGCATCTGTCATTGGCTCCATATCAACCTCCTTAATAGCTTGAAGGGTCCCAATGGGAGGGCCAGTCACAGTAGTAGAATAATCCGTCTGGACTACGGTGCATCCCATTGGTTTCAAAACATCGATCGCGAACCGGGCATCCCCTTGAATAGACTTGGAGCCAATATTTGGGATTGTGCAAGTAGTTCCGGAGATAGCAGCTACAGCAAGTGGGTAAGTTGCTGAGCTGGCATCGCTCTCAACTACGTACTCTTCTGGATTCTTGTAAACTCCTTGCGGAATATGGTAGGTGTGTTCTTCCATCTTTGATCGTACGACGTGGATCCCGAAAGCGGCCATCATCGCTGTCGTCATATCAATATAAAGTTGCGAGATTGGTTTCCCACCAACGAGACGCAGAGTTACCGGATTCTTGGCGTAGGGAGCGCACATAAGAAGAGACGAGACGTATTGAGATGATACGGTCGCGGCTAAATTGATGTCGCCTCCAGCGAACCCACCGGAAGCAGCAACATTGAGCGGAAGACTGTGTTCCTTCTCAAGATAATCGATATCAACACCATTGGCACGTAGCGAGTCGACTAATGGGCCAATGGGTCTGACTTTCATTCGTGCATTGCCCGTAAGAACTGTAGACTTTATTGTGGCTGAAGGTTTGCACAGCGAGACGACGGTTGTCAGGAAACGAGATGCAGTACCTGCATTTCCAATATAGAGTTCCGTCGGACTCGCATGAAGATCGCCACCTTTACCTTGCACGCAGAGAACCTCGCCCGCATTTTCCCATGCATATGTAGCACCACCAAGCTTACCAATTGATGTAAGCATGAACTCTACGTCGTCTGAGTGGAGAAGATTCTTGATTCGGCAAGGGCCGGTACCAAGAGCTGCAAGTACAAGAGCCCTGTTAGAAACACTTTTGGAGCCGGGCGGTGTTACCTCGATCTTCAAGGTCTTGGGTACCCCAGGGATAACCTCAATCGAATCGGAAAGAACGACCCGGATCGCTCGGTCTTCCACGATGCTAGCCTTGGGTTCGTATGTTTTACCAATGGCGGAAAGTAGAACAATTTTCTTCTTCTTTCCATCATTCTTCTTGTCAACACCCATCTTCTCTAATAACACGTCAACGGGGCATGGCTTTCCTGCCGTGAGCTTTTGAATGCGTTTGTCTGCGAGAGAGGTGGGAAGGCCATAACTTGCAATGCATTTGACGAGACGGGCGACAGCTCCTGGCTTCAAAACTCCCAAATGTCTAGCTAACTCCGCTTCCTTGACCATACCGATGGCTACAGCTTCTCCGTGTAAAACTTGGGGTGTCAAGATTGCTTCGAATGCGTGTCCGATTGAATGACCAAAGTTTAAGATATTTCGTAATCCACCTTCTCTCTCATCTGCTGTTACAACATCTGCCTTGGTCTTCGCCGAGCCCAGTACTATCCTCTTCAGTATATCTCGGATAGGAGCTAATCTTGTAGAACGATCTGTGTTCTTGGCTCGAATTGTAGTCATGATGAGAGTCGCATTATCTTCTAGTGCGGAGAATTCTGCTTCGTCCCAGATAGCGGCAGTTTTGACTACTTCTGCCATGCCATTGATGAACTCACGAACGGGTAGGGTTTCTAAGAACCGCAAATCTATGTAGATTCTCTTCGGTTGCCAAAACGCTCCAACCAGATTCTTCCCCAAAGGCGTATCGATCGCGGTCTTTCCACCAATTGAGGAATCCACCATGGATAGCAATGTCGTTGGGACTTGTACGAATCGTACACCTCGCATGAAAGTTGCTGCAACATAGCCAATCATATCACCAATGACTCCCCCTCCCAGAGCAATTATGACCGTATCTCTTGTACATTGGTGTGACAACATCCAATCCTCAATCTCGGCTTTTGTTTCTCTACTCTTGGAGTTCTCGCCCGGTGGAATTTCGTATGTAAGAAGTCGAGGTGTTGAGCTCGATTTGGCAGCGAGAGCTTCGAAGGACTGTTGGAAAGCAGGGACATAGAGAGGGGAGAGATTGGTATCTGTGATGAGAACATATGTAGATGAGGGCAGGTCAGAGATCAAATCTTCTGCCACAAAATTGCGCCAGATATCGAAATCAACGATGATATCTTCTTTGCCTAGAATAGCAATCCGCGTAGGATTTTTAGGAATTGTAGACACCATCTTGAGTTTGATCAACTTCAGACCTCGAAGAATTGTAAAGAGTTGACGCGCAGTACTTATATTTGCCAATTGCCCACAAAATCAGCAAGACAATCAACGATACATCCACTTGTAGGTAAATAGAGAGAGGGGAACTTATCAAAAATGAGGGACGGGACTCACAAGTGACTCAATAAGTTGACCCGGATCCGAAACTTTTTTTTTGACAGGGATTCTTTTATAAAGAGCCGAGATCGTATTTGCAAAGTCCCGAGTTAAAAAATATAATAGAGTATATGTTACAATACAAATAGATAGGTAGGTAGATAGGTAGATAAGTAGATATATTGAGTGGAGCTTATCTCCTTCACTTACTCGAGTATAGCAGTACTATGTTTTTATGTTAAAATATAATATCAATACAACTTCATTCACATTGAAATTTCAATGTAGTTTACTAATCTCGTAGCCTATGTAACAGTAACAGTAACAGTAACAGTATAGATTTAGAGAAAATGAAACAAAGACAACATTTACCTATTATTCTATTCTATGTTCTATGTTCTTATGTGCTTCTCAAAATTGATTGATTACTAAGCACCACTAAGTACACATCAGCAACTCTTACTACCTAGTAATACATCCTGACTCCTGAGACCCATCTCCGTACCCGTATCATACCGTACCGTAACCTTATTTCTCGACATCTCCGAGGAGAATTGTTTCCATCCTTCACGATATAGAGATATCCTGGAGAGGAGCAGGATTGATTGATTTTCCCTCCGGTCTTCCAGCTTTCTCCGGGACGGAAATCTCTCGATTAGTCTTTCTTGACCATTATCAACCTCAGATGTGCCAGTCAGCTCGGAAGCCCCGGTCCTGGGCGGTGTTTCGATTTCTCTCGATTCCTCTACTATGGGATAAAGACGTGGTCAATATGACAAAGTATCACCCGAACAAATTAAAAGATTATAACCAAAAATTGCATCCTACTCAAGTCAATCTTTTCTTTCAGCTTTATTTCAATTGCAAGGAATATATCTAAGCACACACCATACCATGTTATATCTACTAGGTACAATCAATGGGCGGGTTGCTCATGTCTAGGCCTTTTCCACCTGTACGTTTTACCAGCGTAACTCGTTCTGTTGCGCCATCTAATGATAACTACCACTCTCTCAGGATGCGATTGTCTTTAAATGGAGGTTTTCCAAAGTTGCCCTCAACACTCTGACTATCGAATCTTATTTTCAATCCTGCTCTTACTCCCATTTAATTGCTTCATGCACAAGATTGAAAGTTTACTCCGGACTTTGACATCCTCAAATATCCTCTCCATAACTTCACAATATCTCTAGCATATTCTATCAGCATACCCCAGAAACTTCCTCACCCAAAGCAACCCCTCCAGTATCCAGTATCCAATCCTTCTCAATGATATGATACTGTTAGAATTGAACTTGGACACTGTCTTTCTTTACTGGGTATAGTTCAAGCTGAATTGGGACATTAAATAGAAGAAAGAACAATGTATAGGTATAGTCGATGCGCATATATATTTGTCGATAGCCAAAAACACATCAAAAATCGGTATTTTATTATCTTTAACATCATCAATATTTAATATCTATAATAATTATATAAAAATAAATCTATATAAATAAATTTTATCAATTCAAAATAACTCTAATATGGATTTTTATATTATTGAAAAAAAAAAATTCAACAAGTTTCTGATTTTCGCTTATTTAATTAATAAACTCAAATATTTTAGAGTTTTTATATTTCGAATAATAATTATATAATTAATAAAAATCTAATTTAAAAAGTTTTAAAGTTTTAATGAAAATCTCTAATAATATATTAAAATCTCTACTCGGCGAGAATTTAAAAGACATATAGACAAAAATTAAAATAACTATTTCTAGTTTAATTCTTTATATAATTTTATATAACTTTCGAATATTGATAATTGACTATTTTCTAACTTATATATAAAGTTCTTTTATAATCTTAATCAATTTAAGATAAATATAATATATTGAAATAAAAGAATTTGATATTTTAATACTTTTATTTTTAAATTCAAAATAAATTCAAAATCTGTTAAGCAGAGTCAGGTTATATGTTCGGCACTAGGCCGCATTAGGAACTACTAGATAGCTTTATATAAGCTATTCTATAATCTATTAACTTCTATCTCTTTAGTCGAATCAACTTT